ATGGACCCAGGGAGGCAGAGAGGCATGCAACCATGCAGTACATGACGTCAGTTCATTCTCCTACTCTCAGTTGTAAGAAAAAAGGATTGTGACCAAACAGAATATAAGTACTATAAGGTCATTCTGGAACCCAGAACCATAAAAAGATAATTCCAGGGAAATATAAAATAATTGGATCATGCAAGAAACTTGAGTTGTACAGAGTTGATGCAAATAAATCTGCATAAAATTTAAACTTTATACGGGGTTTCTTAGCATTTCATTAGATTTAGTCACTAAAAGGCACAGTGTTCCATCAATATATTGTCATTCATCATGTGTATTTAATTAAGAGAGGTTTACAAAAGTCTTGAATTCCACCATAACAAAAGACAGAAATTTTGGCACAAATAATCTGTAAAATATAAACTATTATTGGCTCAGCTGATATAACGGACAATGGATGAGCTCCAGAGGTCTGGCAGCTTTCTGGCATGTTTAGCAAAGAAGGAGCTCTGAGTTTAGTAGCTCTCAGGCTTTAAGTACCTGAAAAGAAGCTATTAATTTTTTTAAAAAGATGTCTAAATAACAAGCTAGGTAAGGGGATAAATAGAATGATAAACTGAACGCAAAACCAGACACAAAAGACATTTTGGACAGAAACAGTGAACTTAAAACAATCAAGAGAGAAGACTCAAACTAAAAATGAAAGTGCATTAAACATTAAGTTCTAGATGGGAGAAATCACCAGAGAAGATAAACAACCACACAGGATTTCACTCTATGATGAATAGAAAACAAATGTATGGGCAGAGTGTCAGAGTAATGAGGCACGAAAAGGCAGAATTCTTAAAAACGCCCTAGTATCCATGTTACTACCAAAGTAAACTGCTGGACAGTAAGTTTTACTAAGGAAAGTATCTATTCTGAATAACACAAATATTATAATATGCATGTGTGTGGTGAAAAGGGATCAAATTTCCAGGCAGACAGAACACTCCACTTGCAAAGTATTTAACTACAAATCCTCCAACCTGGATGAGAAAGTGGATGGAAACTGACAATTCCACAATTAAAGTTGGAGATAGGAGTCGACAGAACAAAAGGAGGGGAAATCCAACAGCTTCACTTGCAAATGTTCATTGTGTAGCAGGTGTTGGTCAGGTTCAAGGACCCTAGCTTCGGTACACCATCAATACTAGACCTGCATGATACACAGCAGCTCCCAATGCCACTAATGATGGAAAGATGATGGAGAGGTGATGGAGAGGTGGGAAAGACGGGGGCTAGGGGAACAAAGTGCTTTACTGTTTTCTTCTTCTTTTTTGTTATTATTATTTATTTTTATCTTATTTTTATTCCTTTTTTGCTTTCCTTTGTGGCAGGACTCTACAAGAGGTAGGGGCAGATATGGAGGGTCTGGGAGAGGAGTGGGATTAGAGTGCACGGTATGAAGTTCCCAAAGAATCAATAAAAAATATAATACATAGGTAAAAAATTGACTTTCACTTTCTACCATTTGTTAATATGAACTAAACAATAAGAAGTTGTCAAATGAATGAGGTTTTAGAGTTTTAAAGAACATGACCATATTGAATAATTCAGTACAATTTTGACATAGGGACAGAAGTTCCTATATAACAAGGCTTCAAGATGTTGTATTTGGAATAGAAAATTCCATTTAACTCCTGATATATCCACATGACAAGATTTGGTAATAAGAAAATTTTAAATTATAACCAAATTAAGTTCTTTTAGAGTAAAAAGAGAAAAGAAAGAATGAAAAGCAGAGAAAGTCATTAAGGACAAGGAGAACATGAACACTGCTGTCAATCAATTTCACCTGACAGACATTTACAGAACACCTCCTCAAATGACAGCTTAGGACAGAATTTCCAGAACACACAAGTCACTTTTCAACATACTCCACGTTACAAGCTACTAAACAGGTTTAAATAAACAT